AACTAAAAATGGCTCGCGCACAAAATTTAAAAGCTGTAATCATATTTTGAGTTAATAGATGGAAAATTTGTCGGGTTTTTAATTACTGTACAAAATTTCAGACAATTTGGTTTAGTTTAAGTCCTTTAACTATTCATTTTGTTCTAAAAAGTCAGCCTTTCGCATGCTTAATTAATGCATTTACCTAATTTGCATATTGCTGACATATGCAAATTAGGCAAATGCATTAATTAAGCATGCAAATAGCTGATTTTTAGGAAAAATGTAACTTTGCGTGAATAGTTAAGGGCTTAGACTAAACCAAATTGTCTGAAATTGTGTACAGTATTTTCCATCATATGATTGCCGCTTTAAAAATTTTGTGCGCGGGCCATTTTTAGTATGTTGGAAAAGACACACACCCCCCGGTTCACAAAATTTGAGTTCGAGAAATTTTTCTCATTATTCTACATTATAAGTACCCAAAGAGGCTATATAAATAAAAAACCGGATACAAATAGCTGTTTTGCGAAATTGAGAGCAATTTTAAATCTGTTCAGTTTTTTATGCACCCTGTGGTGTATTTTAATTGTATATAGTTATTTCAAATTCTAATTCCAGGCTTATCAGAATGTCAATCATCTTGGATACAAGTAAGTGCTTCTTCTGCTTCATACAATAACTCTTCCAGAAAGTACTCAGTCGTGGCTATAGTGCCTAGTTTTCATGATTTGATTCACGATTTCATGGTTTAGAGCCTTTTACTTTTTTACAAGTGACATTTTTTACTGCTCATGCCGTAACATTAGATCATATAAAAGACCTTAATATAATTAGGTCATCTGTAACAAGATATCTCAATCATGAAAACAAGGCTCGATAGCCAAGGCTAACTAACTACTTTCCGGAAGGGTCTATTCTGGAATTTGTGAGATTATTTTAATTGTTCTGAAATGATCTGAAAATATGCATGGTGACGATTGTTATGAATCACATCTTCTTTTTATCACACCGCGTTGGTTTATCGCGTGATATCCGGAACTTTCAGGATAAATCGTTTTCAAGAATCTTGAGTGCTTGCTTTTTTGTGGCGTATTAAGCCACGTTTACATCACAGAGGAAGTATATACAGAGAGTTCACTCAAGCCAAAACAAGTCACACGCACGATCGGCCATACTGCGCATGCGTAACTTCCCAGCCAGTACCGTGAAATTTTTTATAAGGAAATAGATGGGGAAATCCGAATTTTTGTCATAAAAACAGCGATTTTAACGAAACTATCCAGGTGACTTGCTGTTTCGTTTTAATTTCAAGAAAATGGGTTAGACTGGACATTTTTAACAACAAATGGGGCTGCAAACACTACTTGAACGCTGCGAAAAGGGAAAATTATACTCGAAGGAGTGAAGTTCGAAACTTGTGTTGACAAGTCAAAAAGAGATCAAAAAGTTGTTCTACACAATGTTCTATACTTCAGTTGTGTCGTTTTTGCGGCAGAAAAGCTCAGCAGTTGTTCAGAATTGACATTCCAGTATATTTCGTATCGTATAATGTTCAGGTAAGAGCATAATTCACTTTTTTCAACGAGAAAAAAAACTAGCAAAAAACAAGTCTCGACCAAAATGTCTCAGTCTTTGAGAGTTCGATACGTGTGTTGATCTGATTTAAATTGTGTATTTTGATTGTCAGGATACTAACCCATTAAGTACAAACTCAACTTGCCAAGCAGAGAGTCTTGCCACTGAAATATATAGGATATAGGATATCACAATCTGTGGGCAGACCGCTCCTTCAACTTTCAAAATCAAATAAAAGTTTTTCAAAAGCTCAACCGCACTTCTTATCTGAATAGAAAAGATCACTTACTGTTATTGTTGAAAAATTTTGTCCAGATATGAAGCTCGAAAGCCTCTTTTCCTTAAAAATGCCACTTTTTGCATTTCGAACTACGTTTTCCCTATAGTTTTGACTGAAAACGCAGCGACGGTACTGGCTGCGGCATATTAAATTGTTTTTGGAATATTTAATTTGCTTTTGATGGCGTGTAAATGGCGTCAGCTTCGCAAATCCGTGTGACGTCCTAAACACTGCATTTTTCACCGAGTGAACTCTCTTTATATCTTTACTCCTTGTTTACATGCTGCGATTTGTCGTGCACGATTCGTATTCTGGCGTATGAAATTTACTGCTAACGCCACAATTCCTCTTCATTCAGATTATGGCGAAATTTGAAATGCAACCACTTTACGCGTGCATGCTTATTCGATGACAAACGCAGGAATACGAATCGTACACGACAAATTGCAGCGTGTAAACGTAGCTTACGTATTGAATATAACATTCTGACTTTAAAAAGTCTTTAGTTTATACAGTAATTCTAGTTAACTTGCTATAGTCTATAATTTCTCTACAGTTCATCCTTTGAAACTTTAATTGCGGCCTCCAAATTCCTCCTGTTCTACTGTATACATATATATATACATATATATATATATATATATATATATATATATATATATATATATATATATATATATATATATATATATATATATATATATATATATATATATATATATATATATATATGAAAATGTTCTAGAGTGTGTATTATATAATTTCCATACCCAGCGCAAGCAGAAAGATGTTGTCTATATATATATATATATATATATATATATATATATATATATATATATATATATATATATATATATATATATATATATATATATATATATATATATATATATATTTGATGTCCCACAATCGTGAGGCATCAAAGGTAACTATAAATAAGAGTTACTTTCATCCTGCTCATCAGCACTACACTGATGAGGCCCATTAGGCCGAAACGGTACCGTCTGTAGTTATATAGTTTACGGTTTATATATATAGTTTATATTACATATATAGTTTATATATATATATATATATATATATATATATATATATACATATATACATATATATATATATATATATATATATATATATATATATATATATATATATATATATATATATATATATATATATATATATATATATAGGCATATATATGCATATATACATATATATATATATATATATATATATATATATATATATATATATATATATATATATATATATATATATATATATATATATATATATATATATATATATATATATATTTATAATCATTATTCATACAAATATTTTTTAGAGCCATAGCGAAGAAAGCAGCGAAGCAAACTGGAAAAGAATGTTTGCATGATGTGAACAAAAAGATGTCATGATGCAAACTGTCCATGATCAGATCACGTTCTGCAACTGAAAGCTTCAGTATATAAGCGAACAAAACAAACGCTTTTCTATTTAAAATTTATCAAAAGGAACAGAAATATCAAACCATAAGATATATCAAACCTTTTTCCTTGCATAGCTTAATTTAAATTTTAAATTTACTTTGAAATTGCAATTAAATCTTAGGATTTTACTTTAAAATTTAAATTTTCAAGTCATCTTAATGTATAATTTCTCACATTTTATTCAATATTTTGTAAAGTTATAATATTTTGTAGTATATTTATAGCGCATGTTTTAGAGCGTGATGTTTTTTCAAGTGTACAACTGGCTCACATTTTACCAGCAGTGGCAAGCATTGACCCATGCACACAACAACAAAAACTTGTCAAACTTGTTTTACCGGTTCGGAATTTAATGTATTCGTCCGTGAATCTGGATGGCGGCTACATGAAACGATCGTTCGTTTGCTCGCAGTGGTTTCTCCTCAGCTCAGAAACCACTGCCGGCAGGGTAGTAGCGAGCGAACTTGGAGCCAAATCATTTAGAACTATGTACATTTGTTTAGCTTTATAACAAACGTACTTGCAGGGAGGTGAGTCCGGGATTGGACGCACCGAGGGTGGCTTAGCCTGCTCACAGACGTTGTAGTTCTTACGCCAAGCGACGAAATACTACCGTCTGCTTACCCGAGCTGCATATTCAATTCCCTTTGTTTTAGGAGCCAATCATCTGGCAGTGTTCAAAAAAGTTAGAGCCAATTGGAAGCCGCCTTATTGAGAAATTAGCTACTGGGGAAAGCCCTTGCACATGCATTGGAATATGTTGTTTGGGTTAAAACTTGAAATTTGTTTACTTGCGTGGATATATCTTGGAAACTATAGCGTTGAACTTCACGATGTTTACGTAGAATAATATTGTGATCATGTTCTTGCATGTTCAGCATAGTGCTAAAGGAGTAAAGCAATGCAGTAGGCGAAATTTAAATTTTTGTTAACAATGACATTCAAACAAGGAAATCGGGAAACTCGAGTATATCAGGATATGTCCAAATGTTGCTCTTGATACTTCCTATATGCCATGACTTCGACGAAAACTTCTAAAAGATTAAGCTCTCAGTGTCATGTAGAAAAGTATAGCCAAGTTAGAGTATAAACGTTTCGACGTTTGGGCGAATTCGAAAATTCATCACGGCGCAATTTTAATACAAGTTTCTCGGGTTTGTGTTGTGTTTACAGTTTACATTCAGAAATGTTGCTCAAACAGCAAATTAGTTTACTTTGAAGCTAATATTTCGCTTTCTAAGCCACAGTATTATATAAATTTTCTGTCTTCCGAGTTCTGTTGTCTTATAAAGATAAACCATTCAATATTCGCCTAAAGCTGTCGAATATTCAAATTTGGACAACCAAAACGCCTCCGGATTGCAAAAACGTCATGAGGAAAACAATAACATAATAGGATCGAATCTAAATGATGACATTGTAATGAGTCGTAATGATGCATTACAATCTCTGGCAAATTTGCGGTCTGAGTGCCTTTCCAATGTTTGTTATGATACTCAATTAAAGCGTCTTGAAAGGGAACTGCATGATGAACAAGATAAAACCAAGCAACTTGAATCTGAGCTAACGGTTGCCGAAACAAAAATCTTACAACTCGAACAGGCACTAAACCTACACGAGTTAGAACAAAAGAGTAAAGAAACTGACAATGGGCTTTGTCATGATCATTCCTGCATTATTATGGAGACACTCAGCACTAATTGCATTAGAAATCAACACGCGCCTTCGACTCAAGAGAATATCTGTACTAATAAATATATCACATCTAAAGAATTACCACCTAACCCTCGAATACCACCAAAACAAGTTGATAAGCAGGAGCCTCAAAAACATGCTAGTCAAGTAAGTCAATTCCCAAAATATACGGAAATTTCGGAGAAGAACAGCAACGACAATGCAAAACGACAAAACCATCACAACATGAATTAACTAACTGTTATGCCATCCCGACTCGCGTTACCCATAGAACACCATCAAAGAAATCGACGTGGCGACGAAATAAACATGGCGCTAGAATCAACCAGACTGAGGAGGGTTTTCGCAAGGACAAATGGAAAGCCAATATGAGGTTTTTCCAGTATTATTACTAGAACATGATTTTTCCCTACCAGGTCGCCCTACTTCAATTCATCGCGGACAACATAATTTAAATAATATTATTCAAATTAACATTAATAAAACTGTTATTTCCAATGCTAATGACTATTTCTACGTTCCGAAACTACTATTGACAAATACGATGTCATTAGCTCCCAAAATTGATGAAGTGAGTTGTTTTGTCACAGAAAAGAGTCCTGACCTTGCCTGTATAACGGAAACATGGTTAAACGACTGTATCTCAGATTCCTGCCTCGATATTCCAGGTTACAATTTTGTTCATAAAAACCGCAGTGTGGGTTCCCACGGAGGGGTTGGGGTGTACATCAGGAACACGATATTTTATAAGCCTCTGAATCATCTCCACCATACAGATTACGAAGTTCTGTGGGTCTATTTTCGTCCAAGTAGACTTCCTCGCGGGTTTTCCTGCTTGATACTTGGTGTCGTTTACCATCCACCTAATGCTAATGATGATGAAATGCTCCAATTTCTCTCCACATCACTGATTACTATTGAAAGCACCTATCCTGGCTGTGGGTTTATTCTTGCAGGCGACTTTAATCGGTTAAAATGCAATCGGATATTAACACAGTTCAGTTGCAAACAGATTGTTAACGTTTCCACAAGGGCCAACCCATAGATATCTTATATACACTAGATAGTGCATCTAATTATTCTGCAATTCAAAAATTGAAGCCGTGATTGCAGTCT